GACCATAAATGCAGGATTGCCATCTTTACCTACAGTTGATCCTGCAGGAAATATGTGCGAAGCAGATAATGAATATTCAAACCATTTCGTAGAATATTACGGAGAGGAAGACTGCAAGTGGATAGATGAAGCCGCTGACCATATGGTCAGCGTAATAGTTATTATGACATGCGTCTTCTTTAGTATTTTAATCCCACATTGAATATACATGACATTTATAAGAGATCAATATGTATGTAGATGAATATTCACAAATGCGCTTTCTAAGTTACATATGATTAACTACGCTTTCAGTTTCAACGAATTAGCCAATCGGCGACATTTTGTTAAGCCCCGTTTACACTGGCGATTTTTGCGGCGATTTTTGCTGCTATTTTTGTGGCAATTTTCGGAAATATGAAATATTTTGTCTCATCCTTCAAAAGAGACATTCGTGTAGGAAAATCTTGGAATCCTGAAAAAAACTTATACAAATAAATTCTTTACCATTGTTTATTATGGACAAATTCGCAAAAAAATCGCAGCAAAAATCGCCGCAAGAATTACTAGTGTAAACAGGGCTTTAGATTCCATTTTTGACCTATAAAATAAAAACAGCTTTTACTCGAAAATAAAGAAAATAAAACTCATCCGGGATCCGTGGAAACTGATTCAAAAAAATTTTTTTCGGGAATTAAATAACATATATATTTCGTCGTAGTTGGTAGAAAATATTTCTTCATGACAAGACAATAATGGAAATTACTTGAATGAATTTTCCCTTCGTAGACAATGCATTGCGCGTTCAAGATTCCGAATCACCTGGGCCCGGTTGTACGAAGCCTGGATAGCGCTATCCAACGGATAAATCTTATCCAGTGGATAAATTTATTGGATAACAGCATCGACTTATCCACTGGATAAGGATTTATCCGYCGGATAGCGCTATTCATGCTTCGCGTACRACCGRGCCAAGTTGCCTAGTGAGGTTATTGTTTATATTAACCATTAMATGGCTTCATTCTAAGCCTACTATAGTCTATCACAAATTCTGTGCTYTGACTGGCTGAGCTATTAGTGGTCTTTTACAGTAGTGATAGACCACAAGTTGCAAAGAGTGCCGGTTTTGGAAAGCAAAACTATGGTCACATGCAGATGTCTAGTTGTTAATTAACAGTTTTTCTTTTATATAGAATTAGAAAATCATTCTGTTATTTACTTAATTTCTTCAACTTTAATTTTAAAGCAGTTTAAGAAGTCTATCCAATTCTTTCTCCCTAGATTTAGTGTAGAAACACTGCTCCCCTCCCCTTCCCCCCCCAAAAACATTCTTATATTTTTACCTTTATCAAAGACACAAACAAAYAAACAGATGTCTTTTGCTAATAATAGAGAGTTCTAGAAGAAACATGAAAAGACGTGCCTTGTAATACCATAGCAACAATGTTTGCAGATATTGTGGTATGTAATTATAAGTAAACAGCATCAAACGCCTTCGTAGTAAGAGATATCTCGAGAGCGCTCCGAGGTCAAAAATCRTCCTCAACTGACCTAAGAGGGAAGTGAACTATTCGGTGGGGAAAATCTATCGGTTTTTTTGTGTGTGTCTTTTTCTGGTGAGACTGTTTCTTGGAAATGAAACTGCTACTTGGAGCTTTAATCATCGGTGTTACATATTTCGCATATGGTATGTACTCAATCAAAAAATAGTTCAGCTATTTGGATCCACTTGAATTGTTTCCTATGATAATACCTAATGAAAATTACAGCTAATGAAATGTTAACCTTTGTTCTTCCTATTATGGGAGGTAGCTTTTAAATSATTTTGATAAAGCTAGTTTTGGACGGTTTTTTTTAAGGAATGTGAATTCTGAAGCACTTTGTTTGCATTGAACGAGTCGAGAAAGAGAAAGGAGTTTTGTAAAACTTACGAAAAAAAACCTGAAAGACAGACACATAGAATGAAAAAAAAAGGGCCCAGAGAAAATTGTACAGTGCGGTTGATATTACTTGAATGAGACGTAATACCCGCTGTTAAGAGAAAATAGAAAGTGCACACTTTATAAATTGGTTTTGATAGTTAGATTCATAAGTAAATTAATCTTAAATTGTAACTACGACATGTAATTGTACAAGGAATTGAAAGGAGTTTGGTTAAACGTACGGGAAAAAACTTGAAGAAAGAATGATGATGATAGATAGTACGGGGAAAAACCTGAAGAAAGAATGATAAGGTAAAAGTAAGAAAAGCTAAGAGACAAAGTATTTCAGAGAGATGTTCAAATTCATCATGAAGATTTAGCAGTAATTAAATAACAAATATATGACAAAAATAATCAAGGTCATTTTAGTTTTCATTTATCTTTCTCAAGACTGTTTCCCAAATTTTACAAACAGCATAGTTTCTATATACAGTCAATGTCATTAACGTTGTACACCTAAATAAGACATTTACATATTTAGACATTTAGACTAAAAGATATATCACGTGTTTCATTCTATATTCTTTGCCTCGTGTGCGTCAGCCAAAACTTTAATTGTAAAATTTAACTCGTGAATCGAAAATCCAGAATGCCCCGACCATTTAGTGAGGATTTAAGATGGAGAATGGTATTTCAGCGTTTGTTTTAAGCCAGAACGTTCGAGAAAACACGTGATATTTCTTTTAGTCTAAATGCCTATTTTCGGTGGACAACGTTAATGACATTGGCTGTATATACATAGAAAGAAACTATGCTGTTTGTAAAATTTGGGRAACAGTCTTGAGAAAGATAAATGAAACCTGTTAGTTTCTTTGTTCATCACAGTATCTATAATAATCAAAACTGACCGTGTGAAAGTCATTGAACAACAAACCTAACCCGCCRCCATTTTGTTTGCTAAATTTTGTCTATTCAAATCCTCGATTAACAACTAAACCACCACGCTTAGAYTAGCTAAATGTTAAATTTAACCCACGATTCACATTTAAAAACAAGTTCTGACAAACAGCAACAACACTTTGTTGTCTTTGTTGTATGATGTAATCCTAGGCCTTTTTTGCATACTTATTAGTAAAGTAAACACATTTTGTTGTTGTTGTACATGTACGTCTTGTCAGATCTAGAATCCCTAGAACTGTACTGTGCAAGCTTAAAACTAGAATCTAGATTGTTCCTTGAGGGTGACCATGGAGTAACGCAGGCTCCAAATCAGCTATGGTGCAATYAATGTTTTCTCATTTCAGACCATGCGTTATTCTCTTGAGTATTATTTCTTTCATTACTAGGAATGCTTTTCAGCTATGGTGCAATGTTTTCTCATTTCAGACCATGTGTCATTCCCTTGAGTATTATTTCTTTCATTACTAGGAATGCTTTTCAGCTATGGTACAATGTTTTTCAATTTCATAACATGTGTCATTCCCTTGAGTATTATTTCTTTCTTTACTAGGAATGCTTTTCAGCTATGGTACAATGTTTTCCCATTTCAGACCATGTGTCATTCCCTCGAGTATTATTTCTTTCATTACTAGGAATGCTTTTTATCTAAACAAACCACAGGACGCTTGACCAAAATCACATTCAGTTTGTTTGTGCAAGTTTGATCGTGTTATCCAATAATGAGAGGTCGTGTAAGAACGGATATCGCTGAGTGCCAATCAAAATCTATTATTTGTAATCGCGCAATCTCATGGGGGTCTAGAACAAGGTTTGAGCAGGAACTGATTCGCAGACGGACTTTACGAAGAAAATTCCGAATTCAACCCAGGCTATGTTGCAATGTTTTCCTATTTCAGACMATRTTTCATTTTCTTGAGTACTATTTCTTTSTTTACTASGAATAATTTTAACTATAAAATTTCTCCTTTTCAGTCTCCTCTCTCAACTGCTGGATGTGTAGGAATGGAGCGGCGTCCTTTGACCTCTGTGATCAAAAGAAAGAAAGGGAAGACTGTGGAGCCATGCTGAGGTGCGGTACATTTTCGTATATACCAAAACCAAACGCAAGTAGAATCTTCGGGAAAAGTTGTACAACCATCGAGYTGTGTAGTGGGAACAACTCCTTCTGTAAATATATTGGAGAGCAATGCCGAGTTCAGTGTTGTGATACCGAGCTGTGCAATTTCCAGAAGGGATTCGCACCTACCTCCCCACCCCTCCCCCTCACAACGGTAATAACAGCAGCTCCAACTACGAAGCCGACAACTACGAAGCCGACAACTACGAAGCCGACAACTACGAAGCCGACAACTACGAAGCCGACAACTACGAAGCCGACAACTACGGAGCCGACAACTACGACGCCGACGGAAAAACCGACAGTGAAGACAAAGGAACCGACAGAAAAGCCTTTGAATCCTTCAAAAGATCCTCAGAGTGGAGAAGATGATGAAGACTGTAGCTGGGTTRATGGATCTGCAAGTTCTGTCACCAACAACGTCTTCACTAGTAGAATGTGCTTGGTTTTACTTGCTATTTTCCTTTTGGTTTTATAAACACGAAAATCGCATTGTGAATTCACGTGCTGAATATGTGGTGGTACATTGGTCACGTGATCAATCCAGCTCACGTGTTTAGCACGTGATAATGCAAAAGTCACATGATCGACCAAACTTACGTGGTTAACTCACGTGATCGACAAAGTTACTCGTGTTTAGCACGCGATAAATGCAAGTCACAAAAGTTCTACCAATTCAACTTTAATTTTGGTCACTCGCGTGACCTTTGTACTATCACGTGCTAAGAACTTGAATCATCACATGCCATACGCAATATCACTTGCTGAGCACGTGTACTAGTTGATCACGTGACCAATGTACCATCACACCTTGGTGATCACATGATCGGCCAAGTACACTTGTTTAGCACGTGATAATGATCAAGTCACGTGATAGACCACATTTCGTGTATATCGCGTGATACTGATATACATAGTGCAGTTTTCGTATGACT